AATAGATTTTATGAGATGATTTCATCACAATACCTTTTAAACGTATTCCTGACGCTAGCAAACGTGAAAATCAAGTTGTTGGTGAATATATCTCTAAATATGATTGAAGAAAACATCGAGCCAAGAATCATCTAAAGATATAGAAACATAACATAAACTTACCACATCACTTTATTAAAATGGCTTTCAATTAAACTTCAAGAAACGAATTGTGATCTTGCCGAAATATAAATAGCAAGTTATGTTGCAAAGGAAGCAAAACGAAAAATGTCCGACGTCAATATATCTCACATTCCAAATTTATTTACACGTTTTTCTGGCAAAACCTGTGAGTCGCTTTTGTTGTCTTCTAACCCATCAAGCAAACAATTATAATTTGAAAACATAATTTTGGTTTCATGTGTGTCTCAAGGAATAACAAACAAAGAAAGGGCATCCACCATGTCGCCTAAGGCAAAGGGATCCAATGATATTATTTTGTGGAGATTCATCAGCATGACGCATATGAAAACCACTCAATACTTTAATAAACTAACAAATTCACAGTTTGAAAACGGATCGCTTTCTATGCCAATTGCATGTTAAAAGTTCACCAATGGCTGCTTCATCAAACTAAATAAAAAAAGTGTTATGTTCAAAGGACAAAATGAGATATAAGTCATTATCTCACAGTCCAAATTTATTTTAATTTATAGATATGATGCGAACTGTAGAGACGATGACACTTTTCACTTTATTATAAAACACATGTAATATAGATAAAAGAAAAAACAGCCACCATGGGGTTGCTGCAAAACTGCAACGTCAATTTAAATTTATTGCAAAACCAATCAAATTCATTCATATTCATTATAACTAGTTTGAATTCATAAAAAATTGAAATTTTCGATCCGCCACGCCTTTAACAGGTTTCTCTAATTTTCCAAGTTGACTTTTATTAAGCATTGATATGTGGTTAATCTCTTTTACCGCGAATTTTGTTGTGGATGGACAACTTTTCGCATTAGACAGAATATTTCAAATAATTCAACCGTCTGTGAAAAACTATACTTAAAATTGAGTTGTTCATTCCTTTATGCAAGAGAAACCGTGCTATTAGTAGCCTTACAGATTTTCTTTCTAATCAGTAAACCATAAAATTTCTTTTACTGCTCAAAATCTTTTAAAAGGTGTTCGAACAGCAAGCAGTTTTAGATTATGTTTTAATTAAGTTATGAAACTGCATGAAATCTTTGTGACGATCTATAAACATTTCACACGTCGACTATCAGTTTCAGTTGAAAATTTATATATTTTCTCGTTATTATAAAGAATCTTGTAAGCTGCGCTATTCATAACAGATTAGTTCCGCTAATAACAGTAATAATGAGCAAAGTACATAAACATGTGGCTTTCAGCTTCGTAAATTATTCTTCGTTTGTGGCGTTGACAAAACTACAACGAGAATTCTTTTGTTTTAAAGTAATATTATTACTCTATAAATCTATTTATTGAGGCTTAAATAATCGCAATGATTGTACTACCTTGAAGCAATTGAATTAAAATTGATGAGAGACTCTGCTTCTTGCGAGATGCGTCCCTTGCTGCAGAGTATTTGTCCTTTGTTGCATATTCCTGAACCAGCAGCCGGTGGAAATGTCGAAGAAAATCTTCCACCAATAATTAAATACAATAGATTTTTATGAGATGACTTTTATCACAATATCTTTTAGACGTATTCCTGACGCTAGCAAACGAAAATCAAGTTGTTGGTGATTCATCTGCTAAATATGATTGAAAAAACATCGAGCCAAGAATCATCTAAAGATATAGAAACATAACATAAACTTACACATCGCTTTCAATTTCATTGATAATGGCTTCTTCACCAAAATTCAACGAACGAACTTTACCTTTGCCTAAATGTAAAAGGAGTAATGTTACAAAGGAAGCAAAACGAGAAATGTCCGATGTCAATATAACTCACATTCCAAATATACTTTCCACGTTTTTCAGCTGAAAGCCGCGTGTCGCTCTTTCTTGTCTTCATCTTATCAGGCGAACATTAATAATAGTTTGAAAACAGCAATTCTTGGTTTTCATGTGTGTCTAAGGAATAAAAACAAAGAAAGGGCATCCACCAATAATTAAATACAATAGATTTTTATGCTTTGCGTAACGAGGATTTCAATATTATAGTGAGACCATGCGTAGTGATGTCAGAAGCGCTTAGTTAAAAATGTTTTTTCACATTATTGACGAAAAATTATATATTAATGTGACGATACAAAACTGACTTTGACCAAGCCAAAATGAAATTGACCTTTCTGTCTTGAACGAAAACATTTCGGCCGTTATTTTGAGAACCAAAGAATGGGTCGAGGACGTTTGTTATATGAATTTTAAATTGACGGCATTCATGCTGTGATGATGAAAAGAGTTTTGAATTTAAACGAGGATGTTAAAGGAGGAGGTTAATGGTGTTAGGAGGATGTTAAACAAGAAACCAACTTTCGTCCAGCATCAATATGACAGGGTTAATTGAAAGTGGATGGGACAGATAGTAGATGTGACGTCCTTGCATAACCCATGATCTTTGGAAAGAGGTACGAAACATTGAGCTCTATAATAACTGGAGGGGAAACGTCAACCAAATTACTATAAATTATTAGCGCGGCCGCGTGGTCAAAAACATGGCGGATTTTGGTTGTCAAAGTCATGGAGATTGGGCTCATAAAATGAAATTTTTTCGCCCACCCGGATTTGACAACCACAATTGCGATTATATAAAATTTCAATGCGAAGCACAAAACTTTTAGAAATTTTATTTTTAAAACATGCTGCAAACTTGTTTGTGTGTGGATGCTGAAGTAATGCCAGAAAAGAAAACATTTCATGACACCGGTGAGCAACGTAAGATTGTTTACCATTTAAAGTGTTCAGTGTTTTGTTTTAAGTCAATACTTGAAGTGTGATGGTATATATTTTGTGAATGTTTTACTTCTAAGTTATAATTTAAGTTATGTATATCCAGTCTTATTTGTTCTTTACTTAATCGCTTGCTAGACGAGGCAAAGCAACCAATTCTTATCGAGATACGCATGTCTTAAAACTCCTTGTTTCAACTGACTTTACCTCCAAGAAATAGGATTTTTTCATGATATTTTTCTGAAAAACATGAAGCAAATATTAACAAACAGAGCTGTATTGAAATCAAATGCAGTGCAGGATTAATTAATGAACTTTTTGGTGCATGTCGTACAATAAAAAATACCTGTATTAAACAGCTAGCCTGGACAATTTGACAGATTATGAACAATCATGATGATGGTGTTTAAGGGTTTGCTTTATGCTAAAAGTTTTATAGATGCCATCGGGTGTTTCTGTAAGTGAATTGTTTGTTATAGTAAACAGGTTAGTACATCAAAATCAAGATAAAAACTACTTTGTTCAATAATATGCCAAATTATGCTCCTACCTTGAAATATTTGCTCAAGAAAAGCTAATGATGACATGCATGAAACATTAAATATAGTACTGCATCATCTGTCAAAATCCATACGTTTTTCAATTTCAGGTGATTAAAAATTCACATAAGATGCATTGGTTGCAATGAAGTTGAATGTAAGAAGCAAAATTGATGGCATAGAACTTGTTTTAAGAATTACGATATCATTTAGTAGCAATGTAGTAAAGAAGTGATATCTGTCTTCAACATGAGACTTTCTAATTATGTATAGTTTCTTTGTACAAAATACTATTTTAGAAAACTTGATTTTAAGTCATTCACTGATATTTTACTTAAAAGACAAAAAAGAAAATTCAAAGGCATAATGTAAAATTAAAAAGTTTGTCAAGTTGTTTGAACCTAGAAAAATAAGTATAGGTACTAGTAATTTGTAAGGACACAAGAGAAAAGTGCAAGAAGGTTAGCATTTTGAGAATTAATATGTTCTTGACATACATTACACAAGGCCATAATATTATAAATAATGACTGTACAATAACAATTATACAACATGCTAAAAATCTTCACCTACATTATAATTATTTAAACAGGTTTGTCTTCATGCAGCAATAAGAAAAGTGTTATGTCAGAGAAACCAATGCACTTTAATTTAAGAAATCATATTTTCAATGGGAAATTAATGTAGTTCTGTTCAGTAGTAGATCCATGGTTGTCAATGACAATCCAGTTTCTAATATCTTGGCTCAAAACAGAACCAGCAACATGATTATAGAATTTCTGAATTTCTGCTTTTGCTCTCCTAGTTCAAGATATTTTCTTCATAAGTTCTCAGTAGATTTATCAAAATCATCATAATACCTTTATAAGACACCCAGAATCAATCCTACCAAAAACTCAAAACAATTTCATACCTACTTATAATATATTTCCAGTCGACTTAAGTCGTAGGGTTGCTTAACTTTTTCTAACTCCTTTTGGACATTTTAACTAAGATTTA